GTGTTAACCTTCTCTTAGATATTTATTCCAATAACCAAATCATCTAAAAGTGTTAGTCTTTCTATACATTTAATTTATTTATTCCACTTCCAGTCCCCCAAATTAATGTTTGAAATTGCCATATATCTTAAAATCAATAAGAACATAAATGTAATGTCCCACCCCTCAGGAAGAGCTGTTATAAAGTTGATAGTGTTTCTTACATTTGATGGCATCTTAGAAGCCAGGAAATGTGTTCATAAGGGGATAAACCATGTGGAATCAACATTCTTCATTGGCAAATAGCCATACACAGTTTTGTAGTGAATTTGTTGTATTACTTAATAAAAAGGGCTTCTTTTGGTTGGCACAGAGAAAGCAAATACTCTAAGTGGAAAAAAGAAGAAAAAGTATGGAGTATTATCATATTCTTAACAATATTAACATTTATATAGATATATCTTTCTTGAACTCCTAGCATTTAACATAATTGATTCTTCCCTCTTTTTAAAAAATATTTTCTTCTCTGGGTTTCTATGGCACCATGCTCTCTAGTTTTTTCCCTTCTATCTTGGGACTACTTTTTTTCAATGTCCTTTTCTTATTTTTTCTACGAGACCTCTGAATGACCCAGTGTTCTTTCTCCTCCTCTGCCTCTCTCCTCCCTTCTCCTCTTTTCTCCCCACCCTTCCCATCTCTTTTCCCCCTTTTCTCTCTCCCCCCCAATACTTTCTCCTTAGGTGAGCTCTTCTGTTCCTGTAACTTGAAATATCTTCTGTAAGGTGGTGATTCTCTCATTTATGTCTTCAGTCTGAAAGACTCCCCTGAACTTCAGTTTCCTATATACAAATGGCTGATCAGTATTTCCAGCTGGATATTTAATAGAGATCTCAAACGGAACATGGCCAAAACACTACTGATTTCCTGTTCCGCAAATCTGTTTCCTTCCAAATCTTCCCCTTCTCAGTAAATGGCAGCATAAACAGCTGATGCTCAGGCCAAAATCCTTTTCATGTTCTTAGGAATCCTATTTGATTCCTTCTTGTGTGTCTCATGTGCAAACTCTCAGTGAGTTCTGTAGACTCCACCTCCAAAGTATGCCTCTAGTTTACTTCTCACTCCTGCCGTTACTCGAGGCCCAGTCCATGTTGCCGTGGTCTTTCACTTACTCTTAGACCAGTGCATCAGCTTCCTGCTGGATTTTTTGCCTTTACCTTTTTCCCCATTAACTTTACTTTTGCTGTCTCTATAGTCTTCACAGAGCTACCAGAATGGGCTTTATGAAGTAGAAATTAACTCATGTTTGAAATCCTATGGTGGCTTCCTGGTACACCTAGAATAAAATTCAAAGTTTTTTATATGCTTTCATAATCTGGTTCTTACCTACCTCTCTGACCTTTCTCTCCCTGCTCTGCCTGTGTCCACTCACACTGGTCTTCTCTCTGTTACTAGAACATGACGAGCTTGGTCCCATTTCATGGCCTTTGCATTTATGGTGTCGTCTTCTCAGAGCTTGCTTTCTTCCAGTCTTTGCATGGCAGATTCCTTCCCGTCATTTATGTCTCCACTCCAATTTCAACTTCCAAGGGAGGCTGATTTTGACCAACAGCTCCAAATTATTCTCTGTCCATCACCCACTTTTATTGTCTTCATATCATTGACCAGTGCCTGAAATTATCTTGCTTGTTTCCCTGGTTTTGTTTTTTAAAATTCATTTTTAATTTTTAAAATCAGACTTCTTCTTCAAGAGTGCAATCCTGAAGGTAGAGGCTCTTTTCACAGCCATATCCCCAGTACCTAGAGTAGAGCCTGGCACAAAATATAAATTCTCATTGTATGTTGGTTACTGACTGACTGACTTATGCCTCTAAGTAGAACTATCTTTTGATAATATTAAATAAGATATTAAATATATCTAACACAAAACTGTTCAGAAATAATTAAGATTTCCCTGTGTTCATTGGAGAAGGGACATTCTTTTTTGGAAGGTGGTTTCCTAAAAGGTTATGTAATTTTGTAGACACTTGGTGTATTCACGGGATTCCTGTTTACTCCATTGACTGGATCATCAAATGTAATACAGTCATGTATCACTTAATGACAGTGATAAGTTCTGAGAAATGTGTTGTTTGGCAATTTTGTCATTGTGTGAACATGATAGCATGTATTTACACAAACCTAGATGATATAATCTACTACATACCTAGGCTATATTGCTCGTATGTTACAAACTTATACAGCATGTTACTGTACTTAATACTGTAGGCAGTTGTAACATAGTGGTGTTTGTGAATCTAAACATATCTAAACATAGAAAAGGTACAATAAAAATATGGTATGTAAGATTAAAAAACTGGTACACCTGTTGTAGGGTACTTACCATGAATGGAGCTTGCAGGACTGGAAGTTGCTCTGGGTGAGTCAGTGAGTGAGTGGTCAGTAAATGTGAAGGCCTATTCGGACATTACTGTACACTACTTCAGACTTCATAAACACTCTACACTTAGGCTACACTAAATTTATAAAAAATAATATTCTTAATTATAAATTAAACTTAGCTTACAATAACTTTCTAATTTTTTAACTTGACTTTTCTAATAACATTTAGCTTAAAACACAACGTATAGCTATACAAAAATATTTTTCTTTATTCTTCTATAAGCTTTCTTCTATTTTTACAGTTTTTTATTTTTTTACTTTTTAAACTTTTTTGTTAAGAACTAAGGCACAAACACACACTAGCCTAACCTACACTGGGTCAGGATCATCGACATGACCGTCTTTCACCCTCACATCTTGTTCTACTGGAAGGTCTTACGGGCAGAAACATGTATGGAACTGTCATCTCTTATGATAACAATGCCTTTTTCTGGAATACCTCTTTAAGTATTCCTGAGACTGTTTTACAGTTACTTTTTTTTCATAAGTAGGAGAAGTATACTCTAAAATAATGATAAAAAGTATAGTATAGTAAATACTGGGTGATAGGGATTTTTTAGCTTCATTATAATGTTATGGGATAATTGTTTTATGTATGTAGTTGCCGGCCAAAGCATCATTATGTGCTTCATGGCTGTATTCACTTTATTTCAAAAGATAACATTGGCAGAATTCCAGACAAAATATATTACTTTGCCTTATTTATTGCGCCAGAGTGCTCCTTGAGAGGGCCTATGGTCAGAGTTGTTTAATGACTTAAAGGTGACTAGGTAGAAGAATGTGCCAATCTGATGCAGGTGGTTCTGTCATTAGAATTGTTTGTTTTTTGTTTTTTTGTGAAATAAATTGGCAATCACTATATATTTTTATTGTTAGCTAACAGGCATCTGTAACTTTTTCTTATCTGCATAATTCATTGCTCATAGTATTGCTTTGACTATTGAAATTCAGCATTCATTCAGTAAATATTTAATGAGTATCTACCACATGCCAGGCACTGTAATAAGTGCTGGGGATATATCTGTGAGTAAGGTAAAAAGCCTCCATCCTAAATATTTGTTAAATAAATCAGTGACTTTCTTGAAGTTCATTTCAGAAGATGAGTATGGCCTTCAGAGTTTTGGTTGGTAGAAGTGCCATACGCATGTGGTCCCACACATTCTCCCTCTGTCCTCCTTCCCGCATCCTGTGCATACTTGCACATGGTTTAGTGTTACATGGAGATTTGAACGTCTACTCTGTGCCCATCACTGTGTTAGGATGTGGACATTCAGAGATGGGAAGAAGGTGGCTAGCTTTGGGTAGGCCTTGAATACCAACTGGAAATCACTGGAAGATTGAAATAGTGCTAGGATCAGACTGATAGCAGAGGAATATCATTCAGGTGGCATGGTGGGTAATAATTTGGGAACTAAGGAAGTAGGTGAATATTCATATTTTCTGAGTTTGAGCAGGGAAGTGACAATCAGATTTATGTTTTATATAAGGCCACTTTGATGACTGGGAAAATAGAGCATGGAGTGTGCGTAGGGGAAAGAAATGAGGAGTGAGACAAGTTAGATGAGATCACAGTATTCAGGGATATGTATTAATAGTTATAAGGAGCTTCCCTTGCCTTTTATTGTTTTAAGGATTTTTTGATCCTGCCTTTTTTTAAAAATATTTACCATCTTTATAATAAAATGTTGGGGAAATATTTTTTTTTTTTACCAAGTTAGATGCTCTGTTGTGCTCTCCATCCTTCTAAATGTAATGCTCTTACTTGAATCTTCCTTCCCATATAATGTACACACAGACATGTGTATGTCATCGTAGTTCTTCATGTCATTTGACCTTAGCTTCTGTTCTTACTGAGGTACTGTTGAAGGTGCTGCCATTTTCAATTTTGGTTTTCCTTTCTTTATGATAATCCTATTTTAATGTATAAGGTTCTTTTAGACAACTAAAGTATCTAAAAGGCAAGTGGAATAGCATCAGACACTTTAGATATTTATAAATTCATTTTAGTAAATATGGGTTTGGATTATTTGTTGCATTGCCAGTGACTTTATTATAGTTTATAATTATTTAATCAAATTGGTGATAGGAATAAAAGGCTCACTTTGAAATAAATCATTAATTTTCAAGGCAGACAAGTTATATTTTTAATAACTTCTCAAGTTAAAAAAAGGTTGGTGTATGCCAATACCTGTTCCTGAAAAATCTTAACACATACTCCAAAAGGGGGCAATTAATATTGTATTGAGAGGTCAGATTAGGGCCAGTTTCACTTTAGTTTTTGGAAGTTATTAAATGGTACTCTCAAGGATTAAAAATAAAGGAAGGGAAGAGAATGCTTATCCTTATTACATTTTAAGTGAAAAGATATAGCACAGATTATACATTTTTATAGTTATTGCTCAGAACAATTTCTGTTTTGTAGCAGTTTTCTACTGTGTTGTATTTCCTGTTTACTTGACTCTGCCCCTGCTTTTCTCGCCCCTTCCCCAGCAGTCCCAGGGCCATCTGAGTAAGCACTTGGATGTTTTTGAATGATTAAACGCGCTACTTACTTTTCTTTTTTGTATTCATTTTTTTAATAGAAAATGCATCAGATGCGGATTTATGGCTCCTGAACAGTTGCACTGTAAAAAACCCAGCTGAAGACCACTTTAGAAACTCAATTAAGTAAGTAGAAGTTGATATTTTTGTCCTATTTTATATAATCAAAGAAAGAATTAGTATCAGAAAATTAGCTTTTAAAAGACTACTAATGTCAATATAAATATTTAATATATATTACAAAAAGTATGAGTTGGACTTTTAAGGTTACTGTGTTTTGAATTTGATGAAGAATAATATTTTAATGTGGGTTTTTCTAACAGGTGATTTGAGTGTTTGTGAAGTTAGCTATAGGTGATTTGAATATTTGTTAAGTATTAACTGTGTGCTTTTCTCAGAGAATCCAGTGCATACTTTGTGAAATTGCCTGACGTTGCCCTTGCCTCTCTTCTCTTTTCCTGCCTATTAGCACTGTTCTAGGTGCTGTAACACCCAGCCTTCAAGAGAATTACATCTTGTTGGGGAAGGGTGGGCATGTATGTCTGTCTTTCTTGCTTTGTCCCTTCAAGTTAAAGTGTAAGAAGTATCCTTTTTTTCACATGTGCTTTGAATCTTATCCCCACCCAATTTCTTCGAAACCTCCTTCTGTAAATTATTTCCTCATTCTATATTTTAAACCTCTCCAATTCTATTTGTGCTTTTTCATTGGTATTTAAACACACCTAGGTCTAATCAGCCCCATGTACCCCTGTTAACTATTGCTCTTTTTTTTGTTTTTGCCTTCTCTGCCAGACTTCCTAAAATTTTCCACTTTTAACTTTACTCTCATATTCATTATTTTCCCCCCTTATTGGTTTTATTGTGAAATATATTATACATACATAACAGTTTATAAAGGATGTACAGTTTAAATAATAATAATAAACTTAACATCTATGTATCTACCATCCCAAGTAAGAAAGGTAACGTTGTCGAGATCATAGAAACTGCCATGTGTCCCTCTTTCAAGCATCCCCCTCAAGAAGTAACCTTTTTCTTTTGTGAGTCTTTCCTTTACTTTATTAGTGAGTTTATCATTTAAGTGTATCTCTAAACAACATGTTGTTTTGTTTAGCCCTATTTTGAACTCTGTTTATTGGACTTATACTGTTTGTATTCTTCTCAGATTTACTTCTTTTCCTCAGCGTTATACTTTCAGATTTATTCATGTTGATGAGTGTAAAATAACTCTGGCCGTTCATAGAATTTGCTATAATTTATACGTTTTATTATTGATAGAGCTTTGAGGTTTTCCCAGTGTTTTACATTTATGAACACTGCCACTATGAATATTTTAAAGATATTTCTGGTGCACATGTGCAAGAATTATTCTAGGATATGTACCTAGGAGTTGAATATTGAGTCACAGATATGTGCACATTAAAACTTTAGTAGCTAATGCCAATGTCTTTTTCACAAATGGATGTACTAGTGTTCTTTCCCACCAGTAATGGATGTCTGTGTGTGTTGTTCTCTATTTTGGCCAATACTTGATATAGCCGGGCTTAAATTTTTGCAAGTCTGTTGGCGATGATGGTATCTCATTATGGTTTTAATTTGCATTTCCATGGGTTTATTAATGAGGTTGAGCATCTTTTTATGTGTCTATTGGCCATTTGGACTTTTCTTTTTCTTAAAATGGCTTTCCAGGTCTTTTGTTCATTTTAATGTTTTTTTTCTTTTATGTATTTGTGGATATGTATTATATGTGTTATATATCCTAATTGTTAGATATTATACATGCTGCAAATATCGTCTCCCAATTGTGGCATATCTTATAACTTTCTTTAATGATGTTTTTTGATGAAGAGAAATTCTGGTTTAAAATTTATCAATCTATTCCTTTTGGTCTGTATTCTTACTGTTTAGAGGTCTTTCCTTTCCCTGAGACTATAAGATATTCTCTTATATTTTCTTCTAAAAGTTTTGTGGTTTTACTTTTTACATTTAGATC